ATGTCCTGCCCATCTCCATTTTAGTCTGGCTATCTTCTCGATGATGTCAGTCACTGCGGTTCTTCTCGGTAGCTTCCGGTAGCTTACATACTTTAGTGGAATATATTCGGCAATATTTAATATATTGGCATGTTATTCTTTTTTAATTAGTAGTGGCTCTTCATAGGCCTCTGTAAGTTTAGTAAGAGTGACTTCAGGTATAGGCGTTTTAGTTGACTTTAAAGAAAAAGATGGTTGAATAGTGTTGTGGGATTTTCGTAACTGTATAGTATTTGGATGATTGAGCTAATTTGTATCCACACTGACTGAGTTATTTTACACTTTGGATCTTTCCCTACTACATTTTTGGCTTTTATAAAATGAGATAAAATGATAGCTTTAAATGGATTTTTAACTCTAGCTTTTGCAATTACATTTGTCCATTGAAACGGGATACAAACCGATGAAAGTTTCTTGTTGCGTTTTATGAGGGTAAAGTCTCTTATCACAGGGCAGAAAGCTGTGCTCACTAGAAACTTTTGCTCAACTTGGGTGAAATATTTTTCTAACAGTAGTAGTCGAAGTAATGTTATGACTTTCCAATTGTTATTTTGGTCGACACATCTATCTGACCAAATAGCAAGTTTTCTTTCGTGGCCTGGATTAAGATGATTGAAGTTTTAAGTTATATAAAGTAACAATGCTAATGCCATCTCAGTGAAGCCTGGTTCCACAGCATCATTGTAGCAGTATTACTCCCCATATTATGAACAGCGTAGTTATACGAAGAATGTTGTCGCTGGTAGATGATTGATGAGTGAGTTAGATTAGGGCAAGTTGCAAATCAGTACATAAAACGACATAATTAGCGTTTACTTGTGACTTGACTTTACATGACTTTTATTTTCAATTTCTATTTTCTTTCTTTCACATTCATTGCTAGCAGAACAAAGTTTGATAAAGAGCTAGTCACAATATGAACAAGTATCACATCTGGAAAGTCCAAAACGCAAGTTGAATTGACTTTTAAAAATGACGTGGTAGGTTCGTACATAGATTTTTGTTTTGTATCGGGGTACATTTTTAAAAATAATCTGTACATTTTTGAGATGTTTAAATCAGATAGAAGGCAATTTTTAGAAGCATTTCTGCTATAATGATTTTCTTGCCGCGGAAATGACCTAATATGTTTACATATTTTCTCTGTATCTATTATCATGAGTTTTTGGGACGATTAGTATGTTTGCCACGTTGATCATTTAGAGTTACTCCTGCTGTCATTGCACCAACAAGGTACTGAAGTCTTCTAGAGGTTATTGAAAATATATAACATTATACATACAGTGTGGAAACCACTTATGGAATAAAATTGTTTGTGTCCTTATTATAGAAAATAATCAAAAACTCTGGGACACGTTAACTTTTAAATTTAAATGTGCGCTTTTTAAACATGAAGCGTCTCATAAAGTGACATTCTGGAGACCTCGAGAAACAAAAAGAAGCGTGGGAAGACATAAAAAGAGATGGATAGACGATATAACTGCTGTAGCTGGAAAGCAGTGGATGAGAATTGCAAAAGATAGGAAAGCGTGGAAGCAATTGGAGGAGGCCTATGTCCAACATTGGATAAATGAAGGCTGAAGAAGAAGAAGAAGCTTTTTAAACATAAGTTTAAATGTACAGGGTGATCCACGCACGTCTGGCATAGTCCATAATCCTTATTTTTAATGAAACACCCTGTATATTTTTATGTTTTTAAAATACATTTAACAACCTGATTTCAATGAACTATATCATGTAGGGTCTATCATGAATAATACAAGGTGAAATTTTGAAATTAATAATTTATCACGTGTTATATTATTTTAAATTAGCTAAATACAGACAATAGACTTCTATTCTAAGTGTCAGTACACTGTATATTGGGGAAAATTTCTGTTTAGTAACTGTGTTAACATTTTTTGTCGTGAATAGGTAAAAACTGTATAGATAGTCTGCTAATTAAACTAAATCGGTAAATAATGCGGATTGTTATCAATCAGTTGACATGCTGTTGACATTTTACATTAAAATAATAAATTCTTAATTAAAAACTAATTTCTTGTAGAAATAAAATGAAATATTTAACTAAGGCCCACCGAATTGAGATTTTAATGATGATCGGTTACGGGGAGAATTGTAGAAGTCAAGTTGAAGTAGTAAACTTATTTAATCAGAGGTATCCTCAGTTGCCTAATATTTCACAAGGTACTGTGTCTAAAATTTATGCACCATTCAGAGAACTTAGATATGCCAAACCATTAAAAAGAAAATCGAACTACATTGAAGATGAAGTGAAATAATGTGAGTCACACAACTGTCCTAAGGTGTCTCCATGATAAAACTTCATCCATATAAATTGACATTTGGGCAGGAGCTAGCAGAAGATGATCCGGATCGTAGAATGGATTTCTGCAAAAGAATGAGGAATAAAATTAACAAATGAAATAGCTCTTGGCACAATTCTTTTTTCTGATGAATCAAAATTTACATTGAACGGAGAGGTAAACTGACAAAACTGTAGATATTGGTCAGCGGAGAATCCTCATTGGATGAGTGAGACACACACTCAGTATCCTCAAAAGTTGAATGTTTGGGCAGGTATTATAGGAGATCATATTATTGGTCCTATATGAAATAGATGATAATTTGACAGCGGAAAAATATTTAAGCATGCTAAGAGACGATTTTCTTCCTTGTTGGCTAACTTATATCCCAATCCAATAGATCCGACCCTACCGCATGAAACTGTCTGGTTCCAGCAGGACGGTGCAACACTCCATTATGCTTTAATGGTGAGAAATTACTTGAGTGAAATCTTCTTTAATAAGTGGATTTGATGAAGAGGACTAGTGAGCGGCCAGCTAGGTCGCCAGATCTTACGCCTTTGGATTGTTTTATGGGGTTATCTCAAGAACAAAGTATATGCAATACAATCAACTATCATTGAAGACCTCAAAAAGTAAGGATAACTACAGAAATACGGAATATTTCACCTCAAACTTTAAACAAAGTTCGGAACGAGTTTTACAGAAAACTGTGTTATTGCCAACAACAAGGTGGAGAACATGTTGAGCATTTATTTTTATGTAATCCAATCAATTACCTCGGGTATTCTATGAATTCATTGTCTTGAAGAAAATACCTAATTTCAAAATTTCACCTTGTATTATTCATAATAGACCCTACATGATATAGTTCGTTGAAATCAGGTTGTTAAGGAGCTTTTAAAAACATGAAAATATACAGGGTGTTTCATTTAAAATACAGATTATGCACTATGCCAGACTTGCATTGATCACTCTGTACATTTAAATTTATGTCTAAAAAGCGTACATTTAAATTTAAAAGTTAAGGTATCTCAACGTTTTTTATTATTTTCTAAAATAAGAACACAAACAATTTTATTCCATAAGTGGTTTCCACACTGTATAACAAATATATTAACACATAACATAAACCGTTGCTTTACATACCCTCATGTTTTCCATTGTATATTTCACTGTACACTGTCGACCAGATGTTACTTCCCCAACCCTTTTTCTTTTTGGCTTCTGCAGCGAAAGAGACTGAGTTGCAATGACCAATCAAAATAAAAATTTTGATTAATCATTGCAACTCAGTTCTCTAAACGTTTTGAATAGTTTTGCGTGATTGTCCACTAATAACTCAACAGAACAACCCATAACAGACTGCTTACATTTACAAATAAATACGCACCTAAAATAAATATTGTTTTAAATCATTAAAACTATGTAGCTCTAGACAAAACGTACGAATCACCAGCATTTCTGTGACGTTTTCTAATATTCTGCTTCCACTTATTAATGTTGAGCTTTCGTGTTTTACCTCTGTTAATTTGGGTAATCACTGACTTGTTTATACTATACTAACATCGATTTTAGCTTGAAATGACGAATTACAAGAAAGAAGACCCACTTTACTACCAAACCAAAAACTACCAAAACGGGCAAGTTAAGTCTCATAATATTCCCCACAGTCAGCAGTACATTATTTTGCACATATAGAACGTTGTTTAATGGAAAACCCACATTATGAAAGTATTGTCGGTTAAAACGTTGTTCCAGTATAGCATTCAATTAATGAATAACTTTTAGTTTAAATGTTATATATCTATTCATTTGATTGTTGCGATATATCTATTCATTTGATTGTTGGTTTATATTAGTTTAATGGAACTAAAAATAGCAAGTGGAAGGGTAGCCTAACTTAGATATTTTCAAACGCGATATATTTTATAAAATGTATCCGTCTGCGTGAGCCGATCATGTGTCGCAGTGTCGCCCATATAAACAGCGCAATGCGGCTATGTTATTATATAGGTAGAACAAATCCACCGTTGCAATCCCATTGGTGTTGATAGATCGCGACAAGACTAAAGGTACTAAAGATGCATGCCATGGGTCTTTTCTAGCTGGCGATTTTTATTTGAATTTGAATTTATATTTTAAAAAATAAGGTTACGCCGAAGCGTATCAGAAATAGTGATGAAGGAGTGTACTTCAATTATATAGAACATAAGTAAAGAGTCTTTATGTTCTTGGAGCCTTGACACATATTTTTATCGCAAATTCATAAATATCTCGAATATTTTAATCATAATTGTTTTTTACTATTGACATTCAAGATATTAGAAAACAATGTTCTTCCATTTTTAAGACACTATCATAATTTAGAGTTTAATAATCAGTAATGTCTCACCAGAAAAGGCTGTAAGTCACTAGTACAATCCCAAAACTGTTTATTCTGTAAAAGTTAGTTCACTTATATGTCAAAGCATGTATTCGCGTTAATTCCTTTTCTATTTTTATCTAATTAGTAGACAAAAACTAATAATCATATTATAGTTCCCTTACATTTGTCCCTGCACAATTAAAACAACCATCATGCCATGCTTCATACATGTGGAATAAAATGTTATTTGATTACATAATATTATAGTTACTATTTAAAATTTTAAGGCTATGGCTCACCCACATCTTAGTCAAGCTCTCCTGGGCGCGACAGCAGCTTCTACATCTACTGCCACAACTACGATAACGGTATCAAGCGGAGGGAGCAGTAAAGACCACCAGACGATGTCGACGTCGACGGCAGCAGGTCAGACAAGTAACACATCGCTTATTAAAAGCCTTCTGGCGACAAAGGTAAACGATTGCATGTCAACAGTGAGCATGAGGACTGCAACAGACTGTCAAAATGTAGCTCAGGTAACACACTAATACCACTAGCAATTATTTGTTTTTCACAAGTGCAGATGTTTTAACAAATCAATAATAAACTCATTTTAAACCAACTGGTGGACTACAGACATAGAAGAGAACCCAGAGACTGAGTTGATAACTTTCAAAAATCTGTATAATTAGTCATGACACCCAATCACGGATCGTCTTATCACAACTACTAGTAAAGGTAAATGTAGTCAAAATTAACAACCAAAAAACGTTTTAAAGACATTTAAAAAATAGTATGTACACTGTAATAGGTCTAGAGTCTAGAACAACAAAGCTCTGATTCAAACCAACTGTATGTTTTATGATACTGAAAGGGCCAAAAAGTGATTTTAGGAATATGAAGACAGCGTTGCTCATTATCAGCAGTGTCAGTTGGTGGGTGTGTATATGAATAATGGAAATATAATAATTTAACTTTATACTTCTATATTATATTCTATATACTCAACTTTAATTCAACAAAAAAAAAACAAGAAATGCTGAATGTTATGAAACTGCTAAGATAAATGGGCGCCAATCAATCTTAAGAGATTTATAAAAGACCCAAGTTATGGTATAAAATATCTATATCAATTCATTACATAAACCAAACTATTAAGATTATTATGCTTACCCATATAAAGCAGAAAAAAATAGTGAATAAAATAAAATCATAAAAAATAAGATTCAAAAAAACTATGTCCGTAAAGTATGGAATAAAATTCGATATTTCCTAAATGAAAAGCCTTTTTTTTAAAAATTTAAAACACGCCGATTTTTAAGTTTAATGTTCTACATTTTACAATAAAATTTCATTATATAAGGTGATACACATTAACTTGATGACGCCACGGGCTCTTTTTTTTTAATTTAACACCCTGTATTTGAGGAGATTTTTAGATCGATAAAAATGAGCTGATTCGAAAAAAGTATAATACTGGGGTTCAAACGGATATAATTTGAAAGATATGCGCTTAGAAAATTAATTTTTATTGACTTCTAATGGTAATAAATTATAAATAAATTATAATAATTATAAATTATAAATAACTTAAAAGTAATCCAGTAATTAATACATGACTTTATCTTAAACGTTCGAATTGTAGCCCTTGTTGTATTTGACAGTAACCCAAACGTTGTACAATTTCTTGAAGAACCTTGTGTATGGTTTCTTGAGAAATATTGTAAACATTATTTAAATGACCCCACATAAAATAATCCAAAGGATTGAGGTCTGGCGACCTCGCTAGCCATTCAATATGTCCAAGTTCTGCAATACACCTGTTCGTAAAAATTTCGTTTATTTTTGATACTCTTTTTTTTTCTTTCTTTCTTTTTTTCGATATTTTTCGAACATCTACCTACAGCATAATGCGGAGGCGCATCATCCTGTTGAAACCATAAACTTTCATCAAAATATCCAGGATTAATTCTACTGAGGAATAAATTAACTAAAGTAGGTACGAAATACCCCCTTAAAAACTGCAGGTATGCTAACCCGTTTAAATTACCTTCGAAAAAGTAAGGTCCTATAATTTTATTTCTTACAATACCAGCAACTACGTTTACCTTTTGCGGGTATTGTATATGATATTCCCGCATCCACTTGGGGTTTTCTTTTGACAAGTATCTACAATTCTGGTTGACCTCGCCGTTTAATGTGAATGTAATCTCATCAGAAAAAATAATATTTTGAACCAAGAGAGCGTTTCGGTGACAGTTATTCATCATTGTTTCGCAAAATTGTATTTTATCTGGACCATCCTCGTTTAATTCCTGTACAATTGTGCATCTAAAGGGGTGCCATTTTTCAAATTCTATTACTTTGTTTACCGTTTTTTTGCAAACATAGAGACCACGGCTAACATTACGAACAACTTCTTCAAAAGCAAGTAGAGCATCTAATGTTGTATCATAATTGATAGAGGGACTACCTGATTTGCGTGCATTTTAAACTGTACCAGTCGAAATTTCTTTTCAATCTTACTTACTGTTGACTGCGTTATGGGGCTTTCTGGATATTTATCATTAAATAAATTACTTGCTTCCATCTGAGTTCGCGATTTGTCTCCATACCCAATCATCATGAGTATTTCAATTCTGTGCTTTAGACTCAAATTCATTTCTACTTCAAATTCATTCTAAGCAATAATACAGAAGATTCGCGAATTAATACAATTATTGTACTACTTCATTGATTGAACTTTACTAAAAATAATTAAATTTCACTAAAATTTAGTATTAGGCTACTTTTTGCAATTGATAATAAATAATTAATTTTCTTATAATCAAATATATAGTTAATTATATCTATTATACCCTGAGTATTATACTTTTTTGAAATCAGCTCAATTTTATCGATTTAAAATTGTCACAAAATATATGGTGTTACATTTAAAAAAAAGCCAATGACGTCATCACTTTAATGTGTGTCACCTTTTATAATGGAATTTTGTTGTAGAATGTAGAACATTAAACTTAAAAATCGACGTGTTTTAGATCTCTTTTAAAAAGGCTTTTCATTTAGGAAATATCGAATTTATTCCATACTTTACGGACACACTGTATAGACAACAAACACGTGCCTAAATAAATTGTCGTAAGGCAATCAGATAAAAATAGACGATTTAAAAAAAAAATTACACAGGAGAAATGAAGTAGATATATGAACCAAAATTTTTCGACCGAAAAGCTTTTTGGTTTAAATTACACAAATAAGATACTCAATATTATGATTATATGAAACTTCATAATAAATTAAATAAATGAAAATTTAGTCGTAAAATGTCTTTTGAAACTCAAAATTACCAGTTCAATGACCTCAAGCTCGTTTACCCTTAGAGGCCATGTGTCTTGAAGCAAGTCTCGCAAAAAAGGTAGGTACAAAAAGTAAAACAATGATACAGAGAGTTGACGACCTAGTAATGAGGGCAGAATCTGAATGGGATCCCATGATAAAACTACAAAGATAATTCTATATTTTTTGGTGATTAAACAAAGAGACCAAATTAAAAGAACCTACCGCTAATATAAGTTATCGACACAAAACTGTAATTAAGACTATTTACTTAACATCTGCCGCCATCGAAAATCAAAAGAACTTACCTCAAATCTTGACATCTGCGTAGTATTTATGCCTTAGAGCCAGACTCTACTTGATATAACACTTTTTAATAGGTATTTTTATCTAGATTGAACTCTGATGAAATTAATTATATGGGAACTGAAAATACGGCGTAGTTAAATGTAATATGTATAAGCAGTCTGCGAGATAGTATAGACATATAGTGGTAAAGCACAATCAAAATTTAAGGGCAATTATGACTATAAAAGTAAAAACGTCTGTGTTAATGGTCTTAAGAAGGAATTTCACTACTGAACTATGATGAGCAGATATCGAAGAAATAAAAGAAGATAATAATAGAAAGTAATGGCAAGGGATGATGAACTGATGATCATCTTAATATTTTAGTTTATGAGTTGATTTTAATGGCACAACTGCCGTTTGGTTCAAGGATCATGTGATATCTTTCAAATAAAATTATAATCAAAAATAGTGACACAATTCTTGAAAATATTTAAGAAATAGAAAAACAAGAAACATTTAGTTGGATAGTCTATTAAAGATTACATAATGACTATAATTAATAGGTGAATTTGCTAGACATAGCTTAGATAATTCTTTGTTGTACTGTTTAGTGTCAGCGACAAACATACTGTTGATCGTTTGAAGATCAAGAAGGGTAACAGCTCATAGTTTCTGGTGCAATCAATAAATGTTGGTGTTAAAACGTCTATCACTTTTGTCATAATAAATTAACATGTTTATGTCCGTGTAAAAAGTGTCAATTATTATTAGGCTAACGTGAAATGTTAACGTGAAAATTTCTACAACCATTTTCTGTCAAAATTCCGACACAGAAGTGCTATTCAAAAAGTTTTTCAGCGTATCAATCTGCTATTGCCATAATCTCTTCATTGAATTCAAAACTTTTTCGAGTTAGAGTATAAAGATTTGGGAATAGATCAAAGTTATTGAGAGAAGAAAGGTTAAGATAGCCAAAATTCTTTCACTCCCAGAATACAATTTTTTTTCATTTTTTTTTTTCGTTCTATGTAAAAATTTAAAGAAATTCACACGCACAGATGAGGTTTTTACTATATATGTCTTATTTTTTTATAGACTTGTAGGTTGAGTGTCCGTAACTTAAAATGCATTTTTTTTTTTTTCGAAAAAAACTTTTTTAGAGATGGAACTTTTTTGGATCTTTTCTTTTTTGTGCCAGATTTTTTCAGATTCTTCCGTGAGGTACGTCACCTTCAAAATCCCGAAAAACTGTTTTTGGTGGGTTTTGGAGATTTTCTTGATTTAGGCTTTAAAATAAATCAAATCAAGGTTTTTTTATTTAAGTTATATATAATTTGAAGTAACTAAATCCTTTGGGGCATTCAAAAATATCCAAAAAGAAAGTTGTCAAAAAAATGTATGTTTAGGTTATATACTATACACTCTAGGTCTTTAAAATAGACAAATTGTGTAAAAGCCTCGACTATTCATGTGAATTTTTTAAAATGTTTAAATTGAGTGCAACCCACTGAAAAAAAAATAGCGAAGAAATGAAGCTTTTGGGAGAAGGGGAAGGGGTTGGTGGGCTAAAATTGTGCTTATGTTTTAATGATATAAAACGTAAAAAAAATTTAAAAAATAATTCAGCTTGTATCGATCTTAAAAATATAATTAATCCTGAAAAAACTCTTTAAAAAAACCTTGAAAAAACACTGTTTTTTTGGGGGTTTGAATGTGTTTCAATTTTTGAATGTCCTAAAAGAGTCAGTAACTTCAAATTATATATGACCTATAAAAAAGCCATGATTTGATCTATTTTGAAGTATACAAAATCAGGAAAATCCCCAAAACCTAAAAATCCAGATTTTGGGGATAAGGGGACGAAATGGAAGCATAAAATTGTGCAGAGTCTTATTTTCTAATCACATAG